CTCCTTATCCACCACAGAGGCCATTCAAGAGCTGCTCGTAGGATTGTTTCACACTGGATTGTCACAGCGTTGATGCGTCATAAGAGCTTTATACAGAGCAGGTTTTTTAATTAACCTCCGACACACTCCGTTCATCTTGGCTCTGACAAATGTAGGTGCGCTGTGGGATTTGGTTTGCAGATTGGTGACAGTGACCAGCACACCCTGACTGGACCTCATGGGCTAATTGTGATAAATCTAAGTGGGTTAAAAGCGTGTTTTAATCAGGATCCAAACCATCAGAGGAGATGGATTTTCTTGGTCACAGCACTGATTCGCTTGATTTAGTCCGATGGTTACACAGGCAAAATTCTCTTTTGGCACTTGACACACGTAATTTATCCATTAAAGACACTCGAGAAGAGGGCATTAATTCAGGTGAAGGTGTACTGAAAGAGAAAATGGGCTGCCTTGATAAACAATTAGATAAAGTTTGTCCATGGCTAATGACTTTGCAATGCCACTTTATATACATCTACTTGAAATTTTCAGTTTTCATTTTAATTTTAGTTACAATTTTAGTAATTTTGTTACGTGCGTTTGTCATTTTTATTCGTTTTTTTGTTCTTTTTAAATGTTACTATTTAGGGTTGACTTGTTTTTATTTCAGTTTTACATTTTGTTCAGTTTTTAATTATTTCCAGTTGATAATTCTAGAGCTTTAACTTCAGCTTTTTAAATTAGTTGAGGTTTAGACAACATTTCTATGTTTGATCTAATATTTATAATTGATTTCAGCTTAATTTCAATTAACAAAAAATGTTTTAATAGTTTTAATTTTAGTTCATGATAATAACCCTGTAATGTATTAAAATAATCGAACCAATAACTGCGTTATCAGAGTTTTTAGCTGGATGTACACTAGAAGCCTCACTTTCTCACAAGTGAATGCCATCATCTTTCTTCTCTATATCTTTTCATAACTGTCCACTTCAGCAGAGTTGAACATTAATAATGCATCTAACCATCTACAGTAGCTAAACAGAAAGGTCAAAGAGACCTTCTCTTTAAAGGCCTCCACACACACACTATTAGGAGTCCACATCAGCTCAACATGGAGTATAACATTTACGTTCTCTTATATATTCTAATGAACCAAATTATTATAAAACTTCTACAGACTTCTACAGTGGTCTGCTTTGCATTTTTTTTTTGTACCCTGGTCAGCGAAACTCAGAAACTGACTGTGCTGTTTGTGATCTTATGAGCTATAAATCACAGCTCACTTGCCTTCACTCTTTCACTTTTAACATTCAATCATCAATCCTGAGCACATCAAGGCAGGTGATGTGTTGAAATATTCATTAATCTAAATTTAAGTCTTCCTCCAGGGAATCACCAAATTGGAAGTATTATCTTAGTAATTTAAAGTCTACGTTTATCTCAGTTGGGTGCCATGATGTGTCATATAGCTGTAAGAGATCCAAAGCAGAATGACGAACGTCGAACTGGAAGTGCAGACAGACTTCTGTCTGTCCCTGTCACTTAAATCCTATTCATTTAGACTGAGCACTGACAGGTCATCTGTAATTTCTGAAATCTCCTCCTGCTATGATTGGACTCAACAAAATCAACCAGGAAGCAGTAGTATTGCTAAAAGGCTTCATTTTATGTGCATTTACTGGCACCTTTTTTACTTTGTGCTCTTGCATGGTGAGAACAAGTTCATTAGCTACAGGCATTGTAAAAAGACATTTATCTGATACATTTTTTTTTACAGCATACTGCAAACATAGAGGTATTTCTGGCCACACAGTTGAAAGGATTGACTGAAAGTGGCAGCAGCTTTATTGCTTTATTTAAATTCTAAATCTGTATTCAAATTCTAAGACTTTTATTGTTTGTGTCATTTCCATGTCAAGCTGTACATGCTAAAAATTGTAGTTTATTTGATTATTATTATTATTATTGGATAAAATATGCACAGTTTTTCCAAAAGGAAGATGCAATAAAATATATCTACATTAAAATGCATTAAGCTGAATCTGTCCCACCAGTGCACTAGTTTCTATTAGAAGAAATGGCTGCTTATGCAATAATTCTGGTAAATGGCTGGGAGATAAAAATAGGGCCTCCAGGTACAATGAGTAGCTGAGGAAATAAGAGTTCGGGGAACTGCTTACAAAACACAAAACAATCAAAAGAGGTCACCGAGTGTCTGTCTGCCATCAGCAAAATGTACAATGAAAACCAGTATAATTGCAAACACTCTCTTATCTGTGGCCAAAAGAAAAGGAAGTAGAATGCTGTTGTTTGGTGAAAAGATGATATTATGAATTGAAAATGGTTGAGTAACAAACCCAAGCTTTCTGAAACTGCCCACAGATTCAATCCAGACACCCAGAAGATCATTAAAACTATGGAGAATAATATAAAAGAAGGGGAGAGACTGAACAAACTTCTCCAGAGGGGAATATTTTGGACTCATGCTCTCAAAGCGAGATCTCTGTAAAGATTTGAACATTAATCTTTTTTATGAACTCCTTCTAATATCCCAATTATCTCCACATGTTCAGTTGTAAGGGGCTCTCTGAGGAGATCTTTGTGTTCACAATATCCTCAATTATGTTTAAAATTCTGTTTTAAACTACATTACCCATAATTCAACAGAAGCAATTAAGGTAATAACTTGCACTAGGCAAATTTGAACACTTGATGTAAATCACACCCTGTAACTGATGTGATTTAACCGGTGGATGGCGTTGGCAGGAACACTGGTGGTAATTAAACGCTTTTGATTTCACACTTTTAATTATCTCCAGAAATACAGCCCTGTTTGAAACTGGAGTCATTGTAGGCTATATAGGTTTGAGAAAGCCAAAATGAAAAAAGGAGCAGTTTTCTTATCTTTACCTTAGGGAAAAACCCTGAACCACCACGTTTAATAGGATTCTGCAAATGATTTGCCTATGAGGCTTTCAAGAAAACACACACAAAAAAAATGTTGTGATGTGCAACCAGACAAACAGGTTGAGGACATTTATATTCTCTAATTTCTTACTGCCCTCAGCACAAATTATTGTTTCTTCATGGAAGAGATCTAAATTTAAGAAACAGATGGATTCATAAACACAAAGTCAAGGCACACAAATATAATTTTATCTTCATTTTACACACAGCAGTGCACCCAGTTTCATAAGACTTGTGCGTATGTCACATGAGCAAGGTTTTGACAAATGGCTCCCGTCCTGTGCAGTGATGGTCTGACTTGTCAGCTGTCACTGACAGACTACTCATTATGTTGAGTCATTTTATATTCTGCAGTCCTGCCAAAATAAGGAGATGTTGGCTATTCTAGGTTCATGATGTGGGATTTGAATTCGTTCCTAAATCATTTCACAGTCAGGTCATTACTGTTGTGTTTTATGCAAGCCTGGATAAATGTCCTCAAGTAGCTTATGTTATTGTAGCCTAAAACATGCAATAAATGCTATTATGATGTTACTGCATTGATTATTCTTGAATATTGAGTGTTCTTGGCTCTAGGCTGTATTTACACTAGTATAGTCTTTAGGTTAGGTAAGTAGCCTACCGTGAAGAAATCTAGTCTGAGAGAACATTTGCTTCACAAATCTTGAAGTCTTGAATGGCCATTCAGAATATATCCATGTTACAGATACACAAAGCTGGAAATTAAAAACACAAATTAGGAACATCCTTGTTTTGATATGGTCAAAATCTTGCAAAATCTCAACAGAAACAAACAAACAAAACCTTCTAGCTTGATGTCTTACCTCACTATACTCCTTACATTGCAAAAAAACTGCCAATATATTGCAGAGAAATTGCAAAAATGTGTCCTTAACGGCACATTAGGCTATCAACAGCCAGTCTGTATGACAAAAACGTACAAACCAAAAAAATATTTCAGTTCAGAATAGGGTGACCATACGTGCCATTTTCCCCGGACGCGTCCTGGCCAGGATTTCTATATTGTTTTGATTCAAAGTACCTCGACAGCGTTTCGAAAACACAAGGAACCGATGTCATACACCGATCGGTCTGCACACGCAAACAAAGCCAAACCCTAGATATTGTAGGCAATATAGAAATCCTGGCCAGGATGCGTCCGGGAAAAATGGCACGTATGGTCACCCTAGTTCAGAAGGTCACTCAGATGTCGATTATAGGCTAATTCAGTTCAGTGAAGCATTTGTCATACTGATTCAAATCGGTAACTCGTTTATTTTAACTATTCTCATTCATTTGGAATCGCTGCAGACGGACGACTGCTAAAGCAGTGTAAATGCGAAATACGTTTTGAAAGTATTTTCAATTAAATAATCTATTGGCTACAAAGCGTAAGATATCAGTGAATACTAAAGATAATACAGGTTTTTTTATTTTTATTTATTTGTAGCACTTTAAGATAATTTCGAAACCACATGACTTGGATAGAAAAAAAACGTAAATAGGCTAATTTTGAAAAGCACTCTGAAGCATGGGTTCGAAAACTCGTCGCAGCAGTGTTTTGAACGCTCCCAACACTTCTCAGAAGATTTTTTTAATGATTTGGTGGCGTTGTAGTAGGCTAGGCTTATTTGTTTATCTGCGCCACTCATGGCTCAAGGACAACTCAGACGTTTCTTGTTGTCAATATTTTGCGGACCATGGTACTTTTTTACTATAGGCTACATCTCAGGTAAAACACGATTTCTTTGGGCCTGGAGCTCAAGATTAGGAAACCATTCGATAGAGAGCATGAAACACTATGGGAATTAGGCTAAAGCTATTTTTCATGAACTTCACTTTGGGGGTTTTACCTTAGCTCGTAAGATATTCATATAAGAAGTATTGCAAGAAAAGTGTTATTGTTTTACAATAGAATAGTCCTTCAAACACAAAACGACTCTCACGGTCTACCTAACCTGCAGAAGGGACCACTGCACTGACCGAACCAGTTACGTTAGTCAAAGGATTCCACTTGAATACGCAAGTGAACAAATCTTTGGGGTGAACTGATTCAAAAGATTCAAATAACTGGAATGAATCAAAATCCCCACCACGAGCAGTCGGTGAGATGCGGGTGGAGCGAGCGCACCATCAGCCTCCGGAGCAGCGCGCAGGGCTCAGCATCCAATCAGCGCAAGGCGGATGTCTTATAGCTGCTGTGTGCTCTTCACTTTTACTCACTGCAAAGGCGACTGATCCCACTGAACTATCAACAAGTATGGTAAGTCATTATGAAGCATTCAATTTATATTAAAAAGGCTAACTTTCTAATCTTTTTCTATTTGAACACACATGAAAAGGGTAGCCTAGGCTATAGGTTAAATGCAATAAGTTCGTAAATGTAATTCATTTTGGAAAGTGTTGGGGATTTGTCTTGTCTTTATATGGCCATGCAATGTTTTTTTGCAGTATTATTTTAATTTGACTGTTTTTACGTCTTTTGTAGTTCTCTAGACGGTAACTCTTTGTCTAACTTCTTTTCTCGTATTCAGTCAGTTGTTAGCAGGACATACCAAGTCCAGCTTCGTACAGTGCATACCGTAGTCTCTGTTTTTGCCTCGTACATTTTCAGTATAAAGTGTTTACCAGTAGGCTACCACAGCGTCGTCTTAGCCAATAACACCGAGAGAAGAGAGACAGAGAGAGCTTGAGATAAAATATAGTAAACCTGGTCTTTCTTGTTTTTTTTCAATAGCTCGCTCAAATAGTGTCAATAGGATATGGTTATTGTAGCCCCAAGTCTAAATCATAAATAGTCGGCATAATTCCAGCTGTTTTTTTATTCCGTTTTACAGCTACATATGACATTGCTCTCATGTGTTATTTAGAAGATATTGATATATTTTTTTCTTGAGGTTAGGTGCCTTACCTCAGAAAAAACAAGCAAACAAAAAAAAAAAACCTCCTGTCAGACTCGCGACGGAAACATGAATGTCTAGTGCGCTCCTTCTTCTATTAACAATGTAGTGAAGCAATATGAATATTCACAATTAAAGTTAAATTTTTGGAAGTTAAATTTCCTGTTGTTGACACGTATTTGGCTTTTAAGTTCATGTAAGCTTAAAAAAGGAGACAAATGGCATGTTTGTATTCAGGTATATTAACTCATTTGATTATGCTAAGATAAAGCATCCTACAAACCTTGCATTTTAAGCAGGTTTTGTTTCCATTATAAAAATATAGATTTTTTAAATATTAATTAAAGAAAACCTGCAAGGTATAATTATCGACGTTTCTTACATTTTTAATTGTGGTTGCATTAGCTATTTTTCAGTGGTATGTGTGGTTTCTGTTGGATGTTTTTAAAAGGCACTTCTGTGACAATATCTAACTGCAACCAAAATGCAACGTGCTGTGCTTGCTGGAGCTGTACTTTCACAATCTCACTGTCTTTCGCAACACACCTTAATAGATGAACCATGTACTTGCATCCTATTGGATTCTAAATGTGGCATGTGGTTTTAGCATCCATCACAATAACCAACTTCTGTTACTGAGCTGCTGCTGAACCAGCAATCAATCCTGAGCTGTGTTGCTTATTGCTCACTGAAGAGAGACAGAGAGAGCTTGAGATAAAATATAGTAAACCTGGTCTTTCTTGTTTTTTTTCAATAGCTCGCTCAAATAGTGTCAATAGGATATGGTTATTGTAGCCCCAAGTCTAAATCATAAATAGTCGGCATAATTCCAGCTGTTTTTTTATTCCGTTTTACAGCTACATATGACATTGCTCTCATGTGTTATTTAGAAGATATTGATATATTTTTTTCTTGAGGTTAGGTGCCTTACCTCAGAAAAAACAAGCAAACAAAAAAAAAAAACCTCCTGTCAGACTCGCGACGGAAACATGAATGTCTAGTGCGCTCCTTCTTCTATTAACAATGTAGTGAAGCAATATGAATATTCACAATTGATTAAAGTTAAACGTTTTCAAGCTAAATTGTCTGTTGTTGACACATATTTGGCTTTTAAGTTCATGTAAGTTTAAAAAAGGAGACACATGGCATGTTTGTATTCAGGTATATTATAAACTCCTACATCTCATTCGATGATGCTAAAATAAAGCAGGTTTTGTTTCAATTATAAAAATATTGATGTTTTTAATGCTAAAGAAAACCTGCCAGGTATTAATTACCAACGTTCTAACATTTTTAAATTTTGGTTACATTATTTTTCAGTTGTATGTGTGGTTTCTATTGGATATTTTTAAAAAAGGTCTTCTGTGACATTATCTAACTGCAACCAAAATGCAACGTGCTGTGCTTGCTGGAGCTGTACTTTCACAATCTCACTGTCTTTCGCAACACACCTTAATAGATGAACCATGTACTTGCATCCTATTGGATTCTAAATGTGGCATGTGGTTTTAGCATCCATCACAATAACCAACTTCTGTTACTGAGCTGCTGCTGAACCAGCAATCAATCCTGAGCTGTGTTGCTTATTGCTCACTGTATATTGCCAGTGAATTAATCTTTTATTTCGACATTTTCAAGATAATGCATTCCACATGTCTCGAGTGCTGCCTGTGACAAAGTTTCACTGGAAAGAATGGAAGTCGCTTCACTGCAGCATGCGTTCGGCATATTTATATCATCTACCTGCCTTACGGCCACTTGTAAAATGAGTTGCTGTCTCAGCAGAGGGGGTTTTGACAAAGTACAAGCCATCCGTGTAGACTGGTTCCTCAAAGGGCAGCCGTGATCTGATTGATCGGCTCAATGTAAGGAGTTCATTGTTATGATCTGTTCTCTAATGAAGTATTCCTCTCCCTTCATGTAAGTTTAGAAACCTGAAATGAAAATCTTGAGATGTTTTCAACACCCTCATGTTGCTCTGAGAGTGTTTTATTTTCATTCTTCCAAGACAAGGTCTTATCTGCTCCAAGCTTTGTTTTAATAATCAACTCTAATTTAATCATATTTTTTCACAAGACTTGAAATATAGTTGTCATATTGACAACTTTTATGATATGCCTGAAGCTTTTTTTGTTGTTGTCCTTTTTGGAGTTTGTCAGTATTAAAAACAACTGGAATATTCTGCCTATTTCCTCTATTGTATTTCACTGATGGGAAAAATTTTGATTCATTTTTTTTGTTCTATCATTAGAGTTTCTAATAGCCACTAATGAGCTTTGTGTTGCTATGGAGTAAATGAGAAATTGATTTGTTTTGTTTTAATAAATCAGTCCTTTATCATATAATGAGATTATATGCAGCATAACAAATGTATTTATCTGCAAGATTATGGGACTTAAATAAAATTGTTTTGTCATGGTTGGAGCCATTTCAGGTCAGAGCACTCTGTGATACATTGCTTTGCATGTTACAAAGGATATTTTATAGTAATTCACCAAAAATGAAAATTCTGTCATCATTTACTTACCCCCATGTTGTTCTTGTCATTTTGATGAATGTTGGAAACCAGATAGTTTTGGTTACCATTGACTTCAGTTGTATGGAGAAAAAAAAAACACTGAGATATTACTAAAAATACCTTTTCATGTTCCACAGAAGAAAGAAACTCATACAGGTTCAGAATGACAAAAGGTTGAGAAAATGATGACAGAAAGTAAATTTTTGTGTGAACCATGCCTTTAAAGCCACCTTTAATTCATATTTAAATTGATCAAATATTAATTCATGCTACTTCACATTAATGTCTGTTTGTGTGGGTGATTCTTCTGTTCTCCTTTCATTCTTGCAGTTTCCAGACTTGGCAGGAGGGATGTTAAGTGAATGGAGCCCTCTTCACATCCTTCTTCTGCTTTTGGCTTCTAATTAAAACTTGGCTGTAGAACATTACCCTCTCAAATGTTTAATTGCCTTTCAGATGTTGATGGACTCATTTGGATTCTCTCCAGGACACTTACAATGACTTCAAACACCTGCAAATTGTAAATCACTACTCCACAAGTGCTCACAGGGCGTTCATAAGGAAAAACTCCCGCTGTTGGAATGACACCGTGACCTGTAATGTTTATTCATACATTTTTCAATATGACTTGGATTAACAATGACTGCCATTGAAGTGTAGAGCATTCAGAAAGTAAGAAGCTGGACATGACTTTCCCTGGAGGGGTTCATGTGTCAAGGAAAGTCTTCATCCCTCATGGCTGTCCCCTTATCTTGAGATTAATTTTAGCTGTGATTTGTTTGAGTGCAATGGGTTTTGCGTGTCCCAAGAGTTGCCACTGCTTCGAGAAGAATGGCTTGACGGTAGTGCAGTGTTCCTCTCGCAACCTAGAAGAGATTCCCTCCAACCTTCCTCACGATACTGTGTCGCTTCTTCTGTCCTCCAATCACATCACCAAAATCCCAAACCAGGCTTTTAAAAACCTTCCCTGGCTCCAAGAGCTGGACTTGTCAAGGAACGCCATCGAAACCGTGGACGCTGGGGCTTTTCAAGGTGTCACGGAGAGCTTGCGTGCACTCGACCTATCCCATAATCGCATGCAAAGCGTCCCTAAGGAGGCCTTCGCTCGGCTGCATGCCAAGATCAGCCTGTCCAACAACCCGTGGCACTGTGAGTGCACCCTTCAGGAGGTGTTGCGCGAACTCAGGCTGGATCCCGAGACTGTGAACGAGGTGAGCTGCCACACCTCTGTTCAGGAAGAGTACGCCGGCAAGCCTGTCATCCAAGTCTTGGATTCGGGCATAAACTTTTGTAACTTCCACCATAAGACTACAGATGTGGCTATGTTTGTCACCATGTTTGGTTGGTTCACGATGGTTATCGCTTATGTCATCTATTACGTACGGCATAACCAGGAAGATGCTAGGAGGCATCTGGAGTACCTCAAGTCCCTGCCAAGTAGCTCCCAAATTAGTAAGGACTTTGACACAATCAGCACTGTTCTCTAGCATCAGTCAATGCAGTGTAGGAGTGAATGTGTTTGGCACATTGATGATGGCACAACAGCAAGCCTTATAAGGGAGAGTGGGGTAAGATGTGTCATTTACTCAGTTTGTCCTCAAGGAAAGGAGAAACAAGGAATCATTGAGAAACCTGTATTTGTATGCACTTAAAAAAATCATTTGCTCGGCAAAAACCAATTCCAAAGTCTTATTTGCCCTGTACATCATTGACATTTTCATATAGAAGAAAAAAGATTTAATTTTGAGAATATTTTATTGTAAATATTTTCTAATAATAGTATTTCGCACAATTGGAACCGAAGCTTACCAAATGCCAAACATGCATGAAATTTATCTTTTATTTATTTGCTTAGACAATAAATTGTCTGCTGCAGAAAATATAGTTTGACAGGCAAAATGCCACTTTTTTAGAATTAAAAACCACCTCTTATTCAGTATGCAGCTGCTTATTGAGCTGAGTCCTTTTTAAATATTTGGTCCAGTTTGATTGATTATAAAAATGACACATCTTGCCCTACTCCTCCCGAGTTCCAGTATTATTTGATTTGATTGTGAATGTTTTTTCGTGGGTTTTCGCACAATGAATGTGTTGACAATTGTTCTGTGATGCAATTCAGTGTTCCCATTCACGTACCCTCAGTCGACCTACATAAGTCCTGCAGTCTCTGTGGTGGCCGCTTTGTGCCTCACGACAGGAAGCTGCAGAAGCTCTGTTTTTTTCTGCAGGTGCTTATCCCATTATTTCTTGAATTGGTTTTATTTAGGATCAAGTAAAGAAAACTTAAATGGAATGAAAAAAAAAAATCAAGATTATGGAAGTAAAAAACCACTGCAAAAAAAAAAAAAAAAAAGGCCATCAGTTAAGCTCTGCCTTGATAACTGGAAACTTGCCCGCCATTTTTGGCAGAGTTCTAATTACTCAAGTGCCTAATCCTGGTACCTCAGCACCAATACACTGTGCATTGGGCATTATTTGGTTTGCTATCTCTGTTCTTCTACAATCAAAAATAATCCTTTAATAGTGAGTGTTAAGTAGAACAGTGTCATTTTAAGTCTCAAGTGAAAATTTTGGTGTATTTTGACGATTTCTCAGATTGATAGGCCATATGTCTGATTAGAAGATTTAATCAGACGACTTTCAAAATGGATTTTGTCACCCGTGTGTTAGTTCAAAAGGGCTTGCATGTTATATTTCATGTAGACTAATGTGTATTTCTGACCTCATGTATCAGTTTTTCATTGTGACAAGCCTTTCAGCAGTAGTATGTATATCATAGCAACATAAGAAAATAAAAATGATATTAGAAGGACTCTGCCTTCCTTCCTACTTCTAACAGACTTTTAGATTTCTTCATTGTTTTCTAAGTAGCATTCAATCTACTGTATGCATGAGCTTTTGCGGACATGTTCAGCAATCAAAAAACCGATAGCTTGGGGTCCTTGATTTTATCTACATTTGTTTTTCTGTGAGTACTAGGCACAAAACAATGCCTTGCAGAAATGTGTGCTGTACCTTCAGGGATTTCTTGAGGAGTCATACCACTGAGAGTGGATATTATGAGTGCTTTCCTGTCCAAGGGGCCCGAGGTCTAGCCGTATGTGAGCCTGTAGCTCTAGATCAATAGCAGATTCATTACAGGGGAAGGTTCGGAATGCTGCAGTGAGCTTTAAGCCATGCTGTTCGGGGACTAGATGGCACCCTCAATACAGTGAAGATCTATCAAACCAAAGTGTAAGAGAAAGTGACTGTGTTTGTGCTTCTGTCTTCAAAGCAAACATTGAATGGGTGGTCCATCTCACCGTTAATGTGATTGTGTTTAGCACTCAAGTGCTCCATAGTGATTTACTATTTCTGTTTGTGTAAACAAATGACCCTATAAGAATGTGTAATGTAGTATTTACATATAGTAGTACTGTTTGTGAAATCCTGGAGGTTTATCAATGTACCCTATAGCCAAAGTCTTGATTTGCTCAAACATATTTGGGATCCTATGCAATCAGGTTTCCTTCATAATTTTTAATAAACTTTAAACTTTAATAAAACTATTAAAACATCGAGAATTTCGTGTACTAACCCATTGTATGATGACATGTTATATAAAAAGCTCATTAGCAAATATTAACTCCAATAAATCTGGAAGGTGCTTATCTGGACACATTAGCAGGATATTAACTTAAATAAATCTAGGAGATGCTTATCTGTCATCACTTGGGATGTGAATGATTTGCTATGATTAAAACTAATTTCTGCTAGGTTATTTCTCAGACGTAATGATGAAATGTTAAATGTTCTAATTATCTCTTTTAAAATTGTGTAAATCATTCATAGTAATAACATTGTTTTATCTATTTAAAGGAATACTTCACCCAAAATTCAAATTGGCTGAAAATGTACTTAACACTCAGGTCATCCAAGATGTAGAGGAGTTGTTTCTTCATCTGAACAGATTTGGAGAAATGTAGCATTACATCACTAGCTGATCATCTGATTGCTGGATCCTCTGCAGTGAATGGGTGCCGTCAGAATGAGAGTCCAAACAGCTGATAAAAACACAGTAAAAAAAATCACAGTAATACACAAGGAATCCACACGTCTCCAGTCCATCGATTAATATCTTGTGAAAAAAAAAAATCAACTCCATCATTCTGATGGCACCCATTCACTGCAGAGTGCAAGCAAGTAATGTAATACTAAATTTATTACATTTATACATTTTTTGCCAGTTTTAATTTTCATTTAACAGACTCCAACCACAACAGTTTGGGGTCAGACTACAACATTTTTTTCATGCTACAACACTACCATAACCACAAAGCAGGAGGGTTACATTTTCCTAAAGAAACATCAGCAACTTTCCAAATGTCATCACTGACCTAGTTCACCTCTGTGAGATGGATGTTATTTGAGCATCTCAGCATGGCTTATCCATCAGTCTCTGCCAGCATAAATGACAGATGCTCTCTGTGCCCTAAAATGACATGCAGTGAACTGGTCTGAGACACACACTTGTTTCACTCTTTTTTTTTTCTTCTGCATGTTGAATCTGCTTGCTCTTTGTAAATGAGCCATGTGTTTACTGCCCTTTGTATTTACCTCGACATCCTCTCACAGGTTATGCACTAGAAAATGTTTTTATTGATGAAAACATCTTTCATGTTGCTTAGTTGACAAAAGATTTTGCAGTAAGTTTCACATTTAATGAGCTCACAGTCTGCTGGTCGAATTGTTTCTTTTTTATATATATATCAAAAGTAAATCATCAATTTGCTTTTCTACTTGCTTTTCTGGCAGCCTATTACAATAAGCTAAGACTTCATGAAAGACTGAGCCACAAAAACACATTGAAAATGAATAAATGAGAATAAAATATTGACCAGAGACCCCCATGTGTTCCTGCATAATATTTATATCTTCCTTTTAACAACATGCCTGTTGTAATACCACTTGTATATGAATTGTTTTTATATTGATCTCCATTTGGGCACTATGAAGGGCATGTAAACTTGCCTTTTAAGAATAGGCTAATTGAAATAGTATTTTGTTATTCACAATTACTCAACCAGAGCTTTTTATAAACCACTTTTCCTGAGCTATTCATACAGGCCGACAGGAGTGTTTTTCTAAGTGGAGCTCACAGCACTTAGAACACATTAGAGATTTATTACCATTTTTTTTTTTCATGTGCTCTAGATTGTCATTTACAGAAGTGGTATCTCTGCTTAGCCATGTGTCCTCCCACTGAGATGTTTATTTGCTGCTGCTCTTTCACCACAGGGGGTAATCTGTGCCATCCAAACACTACTTTTCTCCTAGATTGGTGTATTGAGCCTCCAGCATTTCTTAGTAATAATTTATAAGCTCCTGTGGCTATTTGTTTCTATTTACGGTTTCGGTTACTGTAGCAGTCAAAAGTCTGGACATATCTGCTTGTTCTTTATAAATATTTTCCACTTTTTAGTATGAGGATAATGACCAACAATTTGGTCATCTATCCAAACACACAGACTCGTCTGTTCATACATTCTTTTGACTCATATTAGTTTATGTATTTACATTTAATATTTACATTTATTTAACTTTTTTGTGCATTTTTATAAAGAAGTACATTTCAAGATGTCCAGAAATATGACACGCATCACACCTTGTTTTCAGTTAAAATTTTAATTTTCTAATTTTTTGGCCACAAAAAAGTCACTGTCTAGATTTAAATAAACAAATAAGATTTTAAGACTGAATCATTATTGCTGTGATTAATATATTTCTTCCATGTTGTATGTTTGGCAACAATTCTTTTAACCCTAAGTGATGCAATGCATAGCTTTTTATTTCTGAAACAACCGGAAAATTGAACCAGAAGATGCACCTACTGTGCACCTACTATGTCCATATTCCAGGATGCCAATACCAAGATTCATCAGGCTCAATATGTGAGATATTGGCCAATTCATATAAAAATGATTCCTCATGCTCACTGAACCAATGTTTCAGAAATTGAGCCTTGTGAATCTTGGTATTGTCATCATGGAATATGTACATGTGTACGTCTTCCAACATGGTTGTTTAAGAAGTAAAAAGCTATGCACTGCATCAGTAAGGGTTAAAAAGAATTGTTGCAAAACATACAACATGCCAGAAACATATTACTCACTGCAATAATAATTAAATTCTAAACTCTTCAGTATTTGCTGATTTAAATCCATATATATATATATATATATATATATAAACATATGATTTTCTCTCTCAGGAAGAGGAGGTCAGTCTGCGTTGCGTTTCGCTCGGTTAAGGATGGAGAAGAGACATAATTACGTGAGGAAGGTGGCAGAGACGGCCGTGCAGCTCTTCGTGTCTGAAAAAAACATATATATATATATATATGTTTTTCGGAAACCACTGTTGATTTTTCCCCCCTACGTTTAATATGACTTTATAACCGCATTTAATTATTAATGCAACATGTGTGCAACATCTGATGATCATGTTTTCCATCATGATTTGACAATCATCCAAAGGCATCTTGTGATGCCTCTGACCTTTTGTTCAAAGAAGTTAACGTGATCAGTGTTACAAATCTGATTAGTTCTTTATTGACATGTATTGTTTCATGAAGAACCTTTAACGTCCATGAAATCTTTCCATTGCATAAAGGTACTTTTTAGTGGAAATAAAAGTGCTTGAGATTATTTCTTTACACTAAGGGGGGAAAAAAAAGGTTCTTTTAAGGTTTTTTGAGGAACTCAAAATGGTTATTTCAATGACATCACTTGTGAAAACCTCCTTTTGGAACCATCTGGAATTAAAAAAATTCATAAACCGTGTTCTTGAATCAGAGGTTTTTAGTGTGGTCTCCAACATCTGGACTGCATGCTTTTTCTTTGACTGGTCTGCTGTTGCTTTGCCACATGCACAACCAATGGTACAAATAAAATTTTTGTTTGCACAAAAAATGGTATTTGCCTCCATTCTAATGATGGGAGCACTAATATCACAGTCTCTTCACTCATCATTACCCTCACACCACCAAGGCATCCTGTCATTACATATACTAATTTATATGAAGGAATGTGACCCTCTGCCTTAGCCTGTGTTTGCGTGTTCTTTCTGGCCATTAGCCACATGTGCCATCTGTTCATAACAACATAAACCAGGGGTGGCGAACTCCTGTCCTGGAGAGCCGCAGCCCTGCAGAGTTCAGCTCCAACCCTAATAAAAACTCACCTGCCTGTAGCTTCCTAGTAACCGTTCAGACCTTGA